AGACAAAGGAAGGTGAAAATTGAAAAGTTCGATGGTGCGGACTTTGGCTTTTGGAAGATGCAGATTGAATATCTTTTATACCAGAAAAATCTATATCAACCTCTCTCAGGAAAGAAACCAGAGGGCATGAAGAATGAAGAATGAAGATTAGGCTCTTCTCGACAAACAAGTCCTCGAAGTCATCCAACGACGTTGTCCCGAAATGTTGCTTTTAACATAGCAAAGGAAAAGACCATGGCGATTCTTATAGCGGCTCTCTCCAGTATGTATAAGAAGTCATCGGCCTCAAACAAAGTTCACTTGATGAGGCGATTATTCAATTTGTAGATGGCGGAAGGGGCATCAGTGGCTCAACACCTAAATGAACTCAACACTATCACAACCCAGTTGAGTTTCGTGGAAATTGAATTCGATGATGAAGTTCGAGCTTTAATTCTCTTATCATCTCTACCAGACAGCTGGAATGCTACTGTTACAGCAGTTAGCAGCTCGTCGCGAAACAGTAAATTGAAATTCGAAGATGTTCGGGATCTGGTATTGAGCAAAGAAATTCGACGAAGAGAATCGGGTGAAGCATCAACCTCCTTAGCCTTGTACACGGAGTCTAGAGGGAGAACTTTAGAAAGAAATTCAAATCGTGGCAGATCCAAATCCAGAAGGGGAAAATCAAGAACGGGAAAGAAAGATATTACATGTTATAATTGTGGCAAGAATGGTCAATTTAAAAGAGATTGACGAGCACTGAAGAAAAATACTGACGCACAGGAAGTCAATATGACAGAGGAGACATGTGATGTCATGATTCTAAGTGTCAACAGTCCGATTGAATCATGGATCTTGGATTCAGAGGCATCTTTCCTGTTGAAAAGATTTTTAAAGTGGGGCGAGATTTTGAAAACAACATCATTTTTTAATTATTATATTCAGATTAATTTTAATTAAAAACAATGTAATTTTTGAAAACCTCTAATTTCGAAAATTTAGAAATTTCTTTACAATAAAAACATATGGTTCGAGGAGTCGCAACCAATATTTGATTAGGGTGTGATTGGACACCCAAAAATGTTTTGTCATTTAAATAAAAAATTAATTTTAATTAAAATGACAAATTGAGGTATGCGTTATCAAAATCTGAGTTCGAGAGTCGGTTACGCGTGGGGAAGGATTAACACCCCACAACACCCTAAATCGATACCTAGTCGATTAATTAATGTCTTTGCAATGAGATTTACAAATTCGAATTTAAATTTAAATTATTATCTTTTTTTAGAAAAATATTAGGAGTATTATTTTGCACGAACAATTATCGAAATACCTTCCTTGTCAGTTAAGGGAGCATTTCAATGGATTCTCCATAAAAAATATTATTACCCCAGTTTTTAGATAAAATATATTCAAACAAAAATTAATTCATTTGAATATAAAATGTATTATTTTGTTTGAACAATTAACGGAAACACACTCCTTGTAAATTTAAACACTTTTTCACGTATAATACTTACAAAAATAAAGGCATTGATTATAACATTAATGCCTAAATCTCGCAAGGCATTTCTCCTCGAATTCCCTTGAAGCATATGACCTCCTGATATGAAAGTGTTGCTTAATAGCGGGAAAGTCATGGGTTCCCAGCTCGGGTCCTCACCAGTCAATCTTGTCTTTCTCAAATCCTGACTCTTCTTGATGCCCTTCAGTTTTTCCCTCAAAGTACCCCAAACCAAATTGATCGTTTTTAGTAATAGGGCATATTGGATTCACCAGTCATTGCAATTGACTTCCAAACACTTTTACAACTTTTACTCATGAATTCTCTCACACCATGAGTAACTTTAATTTTCTTTCAAAGCTTCTATCACAGTATCTTTCATGAGTTACTCTCAGGTTTCCACGAGTGATGCATGTAAAAATGCTTAAATTAAGCAATGCGAATGCAAATGTGGATGCCAAATGCAAATGCAAAAGGTGTTAATTCCAAAAGTGACCACTTATAGAACAATCTTCATTTAGACAAAAAGAATTCAGTAAGTACACCATGTAGTCAAAATACAATTGTGATTCTTCATTTCCTTGGGTCGTACTCTTCATGAAATCTAACATTGCACCCAAAGTTATCGGCATATCTTGTAACCTTTGATGATGACAAATGTCCTTATATTGAATCTTGATATCTCCATTCTTACCTCCAATGTGAAGTGGTCTTCGTGTCTTTATAAAGGGTCTTCTCATCCTTGGTATTACTGTATCTATCTCTTGAGTCAACATCTTAGCCTTTGCACCTCCAATGCGAAGCGATCTTCATGTCTCTGTGAAGGGACTTCTCCTCCTTGGTATGACAGTATCTATATCTTGAGTCAACATCTTGGCCTTTGCACCTTTAAAGGAATTCTTCAATAGCTCCAGATTTCTTCATTCATCGGATGTCATTCTCAATGGATCGTCTGAACATCTTTGGATCTCCCGGTTTTGACTACATGGTGGAGAATTTCTTGTCTCAATATGACCAGCCTTCTTATTAGTCAATCACTTGCGAATTAACACCTTTGGATGACATGAAGATGCAAATGCAATAAAATCACAATAAAATAGACACAAAACAAAAATAGGTTAGTACACATAAGATAAACAACAAGATAGTAAGTACAGTAAGCATCAAATAAAACCTAACCTCACATGCTAGCTACCCAATCATGTTTTAGTAGATCCTACCCAACATGATATCTACCCACATGCTTTGTTAATCACAAAAAATCCTAACCGTAGGGTATCTAATTCACATGCTTGTTTGAGAAAAATAAACCTAACCGCATGATCTCTAGTTCGCATACTTATTGCAAAAATAAATAAATTCGAGAAAAATGCTAGAATGAGTTTCCCCCTTGTGATTTTTAAATAATCATGGACAGGGATTCAATATAAGACAGGCAGAGTTTTGGTATCACTAACAGGGTCCTCGAATTATCCTTTGCTGGTGCCCCCTTAGGCTTGCCAGACCCTCGACCCTCTCCCATTATAGGCTTAAACAGGTCAAGTTCAATTCGAGAGGATACATTTCCCTATATCCATACGAGGAAACTCAATGTTTCGCTCGTAAACATAATGCATGTACCTCAGAGGTTACTTGCTAAAGCCCATGCGGAGAAAAGTAATTTTTCTCACGTAAGCGTAACGTTTACCTCTACCTAATGGGATAGAGCACAATTGGAATGCTCTAAATATCGAAATGTTATAGCGACAGTGAGGAGAAACTCATAATCTTTTACCTCAATCCAAGACAATCAACAAACTAAAATGAAGGTCAGAAAACTGAAACAAAGAAATCACACGTTAGTACAACTATTTATTCGTTATACAAATCACAAACTAGAATGCAAACATGAAATTTAAATCAAACAAGGGATCAAAAACCAAATTAAAACGAACTTATAACTTTCATTTGCAAAGACAATTAATTAATCGACTATCGGCCTGACTCTCTAAATGATCCATCCCTAGTGGAGTCGTCAAGCTGTCGAAACGATTTTTAAAGTGGGGCGAGATTTTGAAAACTGTTCATTTTTTAATTATTCTCTTTGGATTAATTTTAATTAAAAACAATGCAATTTTTGAAAACCTCTCATTTCGAAAATTTAGAAATTCCTTTACAATAAAAATATACGGTTCGAGGAGTCACCACCAATCTTTGATTAGGGTATGATTGGACACCCAAAAATGTTGTCATTTAAATAAAAAAATTAATTTTAATTAAAATGACAAATTGAGGTTTGCGTTATCAAAATCTGAGTTCGGGAGTCGGTTACGTGTGGGAAACGATTAACACTCCACAATGCCCTAAATCGGTACCTAGTCGATTAATTAATGTCTTTGCAATGAGATTTACAAATTAGAATTTAAATTTAAATTATGATCTTTTTTAGAAAATATTAGGAGTATTATTTTGCACGAACAATTATCGAAATACCTTCCTTGTCAGTTAAGGGAGCATTTCAATTGATTCTCCATACAAAATATTATTACCCCAGTTTTTAGATAAAATATATTCAAACAAAAATTAATTCATTCGAATATAAAATGTATTATTTTGTTTGAACAATTAACTGAAGCACATTCCTTGTAAATTTAAACACTTTTTCACGTATAATACTTACAAAAATAATATTATTTTAATAAATATTGTATATACTTTGAAATTGATATTTAACATGATATATAAAAAAAGTGAAAGCCATCAAGCATATATATATATATATATATAAATAAAACTATAATATGCTATATGTGATACAAAATATATTAATATATATCTATATACACGTAAATAGATTTTTTTTTGGATAAACACGTAAATAGATTTACATTACATAATAAGTTACAAAACATGAGAAAGGGAAGCAAACCGTATAAAAACACGTACATATATATATATATAATGATAATAATATTACAAAACGTAAATATATATATATATATATATATATGATACTGATATATTAAAGAGAAACCCAATGAGGGCTTAAAAAGAATAACACAAACAAAACAGGCTCGAATGCAAATAAAATAAAGTTAAACAAATATGTGAATGGATGACCGAAGTAAAAAGATGATAACTTTAAAGGTTAAACTATAAACCAACAAGAATCAAGGCCACAAACACAAATAATCACACTATCTGAACACTGGAATCACAGTAAAACCATAATATTATCTAGACCAAAATAAATAATACTAAAACAAGATATCAACAGTAAAAATAAATAATAAATAAATAACAGAAACAGATAAATATAAAAGGATTAAAATAAATTACATGAAAATTAAAGGCGCAAAATGAAATAATCCCCACTTCACTTGATGAACAAAGTTGAAGATTTCAAAGGATAGAAGGACGCTCTATGTGCATATCCCATTTACCTAAAACAAGGAAATTTGTCCCTAAAATGGTTCTACACATATGCGTGAATATTAAAACAAAAATAATAATAATAAAATATAATAAGAAGACAAAGTGTTGGGAAACCTAAACTCCTTTCTTTAGTTGCTGCCGCCTTCTCTCACTCTCACTTTCCTTCTCTTTTCTTTGTTTTCATTCATTTTTTATAGCCTCATCTGCCGTTAGGAATTACCGAAGAGACCTAAACGGATGAAGACCGAAGACCAATGACCCAATTCCACTGTTTTCTTTCGGTAATCCTAGGAAACCTCGACTCCGACGATGAGCACTCACATAACAAGGTAAACTAAATTGAGACCTTATATTACTCTTGCTCTCTTTTTTTTAACTTTAAAATCCCCCAACAAATGCAAACTAAACTAAATAAAAATAACATGCAAGGTTTCCAGAGGACACAACCTATTCTTGGCGACGCCTGGATATGGATTTCTCTTCTCCTGCCAACGAGACCTTCAAAGGCACAGACGGAAGCCATGAAGATCTCCACTCGATGACAAACAATAACCCAGTAAGCTAGACTAAAGTTAACGTTTAAGCTACCTTTTTCTGTTTTTATTTTATTTTTAGGAATTGCATTTAATTTAGAAATTATTAAAACAAATTAAGAAAAATATTAAAGTAAATAACAATCAAGAACAACCTCGTATGGACTGAATTTCTCTTTGTATTGCTTTGATTCAGTGAAATGAGATTCTTCGAATAAAAGGAAAAATACAGTACACTATTTTTTCTTTGGTTAAAAAAAACAACGGGGAAGGGTATTTTCTGGCTTCCGTCTCCTCTCTTCCTTGCTCTTTTTTTTCCTTCTCCCTTCTCCGAATGATTGCCTTCATATTTTAGTTGCTTTGAATCCACCACTTTCCTTGGATTAGTGCTGAAGTAGGTATGTTTAATCCCGTAATTTTCGGGATTTATTTTTATTTCAAAGGTTTAGGTGAACTGATAATTTTTTTTGTGTTGACCTTGGTTTTGATTCAGTGAGATTTGTTGAATTGGCCAACTTTGATGATGATGACAACTTCTAGAAGCATTCGACGTTGGCTTGTTTTTGGTGATAGAGGAGGCTTAGCTGGTTATCATTTAGGGTTGAGAAACCCTAACCCTTAAGTGATTTGGGTTAGGTTTGTTGTAGCCCATTATTGGATCTGGGATTGTTTTAGGCTTGAACCGGGTTGTAACTTGTAATGGGTCTCAAAGCCTACAAATGTAAAATACAATAATTAATAATAATAATTATTATTATTATATATAATTACTATTTATAATATTTCTTGTTCCCGGTCAAAAACGGGTCTCTAAATTTCCACTCCACCCCATACCAAGAAATCATGGAGAACTATGTCAGTGGTGATTTTGGAAAGGTTCATTTAGCTAATGATGAAACCTTGAAGATCGTCGGAAAATGAGACATCCGATTAAAGTTGTCATACCAGACCACCTGGACGCTGAAAAGAGTGAGACATATTCCTGGCCTCAAAAGAAATTTGATTTATGTAGGACAATTTGATGGAGAATGATATAACACAACCTTTTCAGGCTGTAAATGGAAAATTACCAAAGGAGCACTCGTCATTGCTCGTGGTAAGAAGACTAGTACTCTCTATGTAACCTCAAATTTAGAGAATATCATTGCAACTGCAGATGCTGATGGAAAATCAAACCTATGGCACCAAAGGCTTGGCCATATGAGCGAGAAAGGGATGAAGACACTTTTGTCAAAAGTGAAGCTGTCGGATCTAAAGAATGTAGATGTCAGACTATGTGAAGATTGCATATTTGGCAAACAAAAGAAAGTCAGTTTTGCAAAGATTGGCAAGACATCTAAGGCTGAAAAATTAGAGTTGGTTTATATTGATGTATGGAGACCATATCCAGTTTCATCTCATGTATGCTCACTATATTATGCCACATTCATCGATGATTCAACAAGGAAGGTGTGGGTTTATTTTCTGAAGAAGAAATCAGAAGTCTTTGATACCTTCAGAAAATGGAAGGCCATGGTGGAAAATGAGACTAGTTTGAAAGTCAAGCAATTGAGGTCTGACAATGGAGGAGAGTACAAAAACAATAGATTCAGAGATTTCTGTGCAAACAATGGGATCAAGATGAAAACAGTTCCCATGACACCGCATCATAATGGCGTAGCAGAGCGCATGAACAAAACTCTGAATGAACGTGTCAGAAGCAGAGGATACATGCCGGATTACCCAAATTACTGTGGGTTGAAGCTATCAACACTGCAGCTTACCTGATCAATCGTGGGCCCTCAGTTCCCTTGGATGCTGGAATACCAGAGGAAACTTGGAGCAAGAAAGAAATAAACTTTTCACACTTAAGAGTGTTTGGTTGTATTTCTTATGTACACATAAATTCTGCTGAAAGAAGTAAACTTGACGCCAAGTCCAACAAATGTGTCTTTGTTGGTTATGGTGGTTATGAGTTCGATTACCGGTTTTGGGACTACGAAAATATGAAGATCATCAGAAGCAGAGATGTCATTTTCAATAAGAATGTGATATACAAAGATAGGTCAACCATAGAATCAAGTAGCTCCAATACCGAAGTTGAAATAAAGGAATTTGCTGAGTTCGGGGATATTTCTGGAAATGATGTTCAGCTGAAGCAGTTCAAGAAGAACCAAGCACATCAAAACTGAGACACTCCTCCAGAATTCCTAAACCAACCCAACGTTATTCGCCTTCTTTGCACTACTTATTGCTGACTGACAATGGTGAACCAGAGTGTTATGATGAAGCAATGCAGGTGGAGGATTCAGTCAAGTGGGAGTCTTCCATTAAAAATGAGATAGACTCGCTTATTTTAAATCAGACGTGGGAATTAGCTGAATTACCACCAGGCAAGAAAGCACTCCATAACAAGTGGATTTATAGGATCAAAGAAGAGCACGATGGGAGAAAACGCTACAAAGCAAGATTGGTTGTCAAAGGTTTTTCAATAAAAAGAAGGTATTGACTATAATGAAATTTTCTCTCCTGTCGTAAAGTTGTTTACAATCAGATTGGTGTTGAAAATTGTAGCTGCAGAGAATTTGCATCTTGAACAGTTAGATGTGAAGACAACTTTCCTTCATGGTGATTTGGAGGAATAAATCTATATGAGGCAGCTAGAAGGCTTCATAGAGGCATGCAAGAAAAACCTAGTATGCAGGTTGAAGAAGAGCTTGTATGGTTTAAAACAAGCTCCTAGACAGTGGTACAAGAAGTTCGATAGTTTCATGAGTAGTAGTGGTTTTACCATATGCTAAGAAGATCATTATTGCTACATCAAGAGGTTCGACAACAACTTCATTATTTTATTATTGTACTTTGATGACATGCTCATTATAGGTTCAGACATGCAAAATATTATAAACTTGAAGCAAAAACTGTCGAAGCAGTTTGTAATGAAAGATCTGGGCGCTGCAAAGCAGATTATTAGGATAAGGATCAAGAGAGACACAAAGTCAGGGACTGATGTTATCACATGATGAGTACATCAACAAAGTACTCTCCAGGTTCAATATGCAAGATGCTAAACCAGTAAGTACACCTTTAGGTGTTCATTTTAGACTCTCCAAAGAACAGTCACCAAAGACGGAGAAAGAATGTGCACATGGTGAAGGTGTCGTATGCCTCAGCAATTGAAAGTCTGGTGTATGCCATGGTTTTTACTAGACCGGATATTGCGCATGCAGTGGGAGTTGTTAGCAGGTACATGAATAATCCAGACAAGGTACACTGGGAAGTAGTCAAATGGATCCTCAGATATCTGCGAGGTACCATAAACAAAGCACTTTGTTTCAAAGGTGGAGATATGATACTGACAGGTTATGTAAATGTTGTCTTAGCCGGAAATGTTGACATCAGAAGGAGCACTACAGGGTATGTCTATACTCTAGGAGGAACTGCAGTGAGTTGGGTTTCTCAACTACAGAAGATAGTTGCTCTCTCCATAACTGAAGCAGAATATGTCGCTGTTACAGAAGCCAGCAAGGACATGGTTTGGCTCCAAAGTTTCTTGGAAGAGTTAGGAAAGAAATAAGAAAACAATGTCTTGTATTGCGACAGTCAAAGTGCTATCCATCTAGCAAAGAATCCGTCTTTTCATTTCAGGACGAATCACATACAATTGAGATATCATTTTATATGGTCTCTTCTGGAAGATGGGATTTTGAAACTTGAAAAGATCAGTGAAGCTCAAAATCCGGCAGACATGTTGACAAAGACGGTGACTACGGACAAATTGAAGTTGTGTTCAGCTTCAGTTGGCATGCTAGAATAACAAGACTAGAAATGTTGTTGCATCGATCAAGGTGTGAAGACAGATTAAAATCAGTCTTCAAGTGAGAGATTGTTGAATATTAAAAAAGCACATGGGCTGCTAAAGAATTAGCAGCCGGCTGTTTAAAAAAAATGAGGGCTGATTTTTTTAATTTAAGCAATGGTTAATTACATTTTTTAGTCATTGCACTTTAGGGTATTTTCAAAGATTAGTCCCTAAGTTTCAACTATAAATACTCTATCTCATTTAGCTTCAAAATCATCCCAAATCATTTCTTTCTCCCAATACTAGAGAGTTTTCTTGTGAGTAATGAGTGTTTTGTAAACACCTGTAAATTTTCTCTCTTAGTAAAAGATCTGCAGCAGTCCGGAGACGTAAGCAAATTGGCTGAACTCTGTTATCAATTTCTGGTATTATTTTTCTGCTTTTATTTCGCATTCTCACTAACCTGGTTATATGGAAATTACTCGTACTCGGTTATTTCCTAACAAGACACTCGAGCCTCGGCTAAATAAAAATTTGGGAATACTAAACCATTAGTAAATTTTACGTAGGATAGATTATATATATATTAATTTATACAAAATAAAAATAAAAATAAAATTTAAGATTTATATATTTTTAAATTAAATTTAATTAAATTTTTATCAAAATATAAATGTATTTTAAATACTAATTTATATAGTAAAAATTAAATGTGCAGAAAATATAATTGATTTTTGCATTCAAATATAAATTAAATTATTTATAATTTCCATAGAATTTATTTTTTTAATTAAATTATTAATTAAATTAAAAAATTAATTTAAAATTGTATATAATCATTAAATTAAAATTGTGAATAAAAAAAGAAAAATTTTAGTTTAAAAATATATATCTTAAATTAAAATTTTCTTTTAATCTTGTATAAATCAGTATTTAAAATATATAAAAATATATCCTACTATTATATAAATGTAGAATTTACTTTAATGGTTTAGTATTTCCAAATATTTTATTTAGGCTAGGCTCGAATCCTCGAATGTCTTCATGTCCATTTTCCTTTCCTTTTTTTTCTAACATTAAATGAAATATAACATATATATAGTATTGTGTTAACCATTAACCAAAAGTCGAGGTTAAATTACGTGGTAAGCTTTCCCTCGCTCCAAGCTGGTTCGAATCCCCTTAATTCTGCTTCATATCCCTTTCCTTGTTATTAGTTTTAACTCAAACCAGATAGTAATTTACCTCGCAAATTTGACATGAATCCGATTATTCGAATCAATTCACCTGGCTCAATACAAGATATTAACCCGAACATGATAATCAAATTTGATCCCATACCTGATCCAAAATTTTGATCCGATACCCGATTCGAACCTTATCCGATCCAAAATTTAGCGAAACAAAATCAACTAGAACCGAAATTAACCTGACCACGTAAGAATCTAATTTTAAGATTGAAAACAATAATAAATAAAGTTTACTTATCTTACTTGTTATGAAAATATTAGATTTATAATAAAAAATAATTGAAAGCAACTAAAACAAAGGAAATAATATTAGATTTATAATAAAAATAATATAAAATTTACTTATGTTACGACTAAAACTTAACAAATAAAGTTATGTATTATTTTTAAATTTTAATAAAATATTAAATTTATAATTGAAAAAAAATTAATAAAAATTATTTTTTATCAAATAGTTCTCATTATAAACTTTTCATACGAGATCGATATAAAATTTTGATAACAAATTCTAACACGTATTATAGGATCGTATTTGTGTCAAATTATCGATTTATCATGTCTAAACGATGGTTTAATTCAAAATATTGAATGATTGAGAATTGAAATTAAACCTAAATGATAAAAATTAACAAATAAGAAGACATTTTTACAAGTGTATATCAATTATTCTATATATACTTGATTTTGATTAGACTAATAACCAATTCAACCGTAATTAACTTGATCTAAAGGTTGACCTAAACTGAAAATCAACTTATCCGGTATAACCCGACCCAAGAATCAATCGATCTGGTATTAACCCGGCCCGATATTGACCCGATCAAAAAATCAACCGATCCGATATTGACCCGAACCGAAAAACAACTGATCCAATAATCACCCGACCTGAAAATTGACCTGACCCGATCTGATTCACCATACACTCGAACTAGATCTAAATCAGATCCGATCTGAATAAAATTAAAACGAATTTAATATTGACCTGAAATTACCTGATCCAAATCTGATCCGAATGACTCGTTTGCCATCTCTAGTAATACTTGGTAATATGTGTCATAAACAATTCAAAACCGGTAATATATGTCATAATTTGGTTAGATTATTAAATCTTAATACAAATATTAGGAAACTGCTATGTTAGTACTTCTGTTAAATTTTAGCGTTGGTGGTTTGATTGGATACAATTAAATAATTTAGTGGTCTGATTGACAAAATTGTTATTAGTTTTAACTCCAACCAGATGATAATACTTGGTAAGATGTGTCCTGAGCACTTTAAGATCGGTAAGATGTGTCATAATTTGGTTAGATGATTAAATCTTGATACAAATATTTATTAACTGTCATGTCGATATTTCTATTAAATTTTAGCGTCGGTGGTTTGATTGGATACAATTAAATAATTTAGTGGTCTGATTGATAAAATTGTTATTATTTTAACTCCAACCAGATGATAATACTTGGTAAGATGTGTCATAAGCACTTCAAGATCGGTAAGATGTGTCATAATTTAGTTAGATGATTAAATCTTAATACAAATATTTATTAACTGTCATGTCAACACTTCTATTAAATTTTAGCCTTTGTGGTTTGATTGGATCCAATTAAATAGTTTAGTGGTCATTGACAAATTAAAAGATCAATGATAAAAGTAAAATGGCTAAATAGTTGAGTGGTTGGTGGTATATTTTACCCTATAATAAATGGGAATGAGATAAGGGTAGTTTTATACCAGACACAAATAGCACATTCCAATTCCCATGAAAACAAATCATTGGCTTCATCTTAGCCATTACAGTGCATGGATTATAATAATGATCTATTCATATACTTGTACACCTTTGGCAGCAGAGTCGCTATCAGAATTCTTAAGTCAACAACCAAATCCACCGTATGCCAGTGGATTCCTACAATGCTTGGTACTATACCCAAACAAGAAATTTGACCACTCACCAATAGTTTTTCATTTTGCGATACGTGTTTCCCTTCGAGTTTATCCATGTTGCTGTACAATTGAATTCTGAATGATCATCTTCTGTATGCTTCCTTAACACATTCTTTCATGAACTCATTCAACGCTAGCAACGCTGCACCCACTGCAGGCTCCACCTACAAGAAGGCAAGCTAAAAAGTAAGTTGCGATATATGTAAAACAATGTGCTTAGCATTTGCGTAAAGAATGCTAGTCACCACAACCACGCAGCATTAGTCCAGGAGGACCTCCTCCATCCTATCCATCCTTGCACTAAAGAAGTACCATCTGCAAGTCTGTCATCTACGATAGTAAGTGGCACTCCTCTAAAGATAATAGAACTATGTTACTTGGGCTTGAGTGTGAGTGCTGAATATGGGTATGCGTTTTACACAGGTATGTTCATTTTTTTAAAATGTTTTTCAATGAATTTGGTGGGTTCTTGGAGTCCTTGAAGGGTCATATCCATACTCGTGTCCAATTATGTGTCAGGCACAGGTGTCGGATATATATACTTCAAGCAAAATGAACAATCGAGGCAACATAGCGTTAGACCATAGGGGTATTGGAGTCTTGGATTGGAAGGGTATAGTCGATCAGTATAGGGTGAAAAGTCATATGCAGACCGCAGACTAGCTTAAACTTGCCCCATCCCAAAACCATGTCAAGGCATAACAAATAAGACTGAACTTACCATGACAAGTAGTTATCAGACAAACGTAGCAGTCTGATGGTGTATGCCAACCAATAGACCCACATATTTTGATGTTTTGATGTTCCGATCTTAACCCTCATATTTATTCCTAAACATCAGTTTTTTCATTTTTGATTTCCATCTGCTAAGGTTCGTAGCAAGAACATGTGATTATTTTGTCAGTGAAGTGGCCAAAAGGAAACTGGCCGCGATTCAAAGATAAGAAAGGTCGAAAGCATTTGTATTGAACACTTGGACTATATTAAATTATTCTTACCTTAGGCCTAATAGGAAGGGCCCCGGGGTAGTCTTTGGAGATAAAGTTCACGACTTCTTTTCCTATGTCCCACCTCTGGTTTGCTTCGAGAACCCCACCAACCATAACAAGAGGAAAGTAATTTTTTCCATCTGCAAAGATTGATGCATAGAAATACAGAACTTCAGCTGCCATAATATAATCAACCTGTGGCAGAGCTATCAAGGGACAATTTCCAAGTTATACATTATTGCTTGAAAAGTCCATAATCTGTGGTTTGCAAGAACATTGGCCCTGAGTATCGCAATACTAGCAAGTAGTGACCATAGGAATGGATATTCAAACAAAATTTATGCCATAGAAATGAAGGGATTAAATAAAAAGAAACAGAAAACTACTTTTTATTGTTATACTTGGAATCACATTGAAGTGAGCCAAGTAGATTAAGATTCATCATCTATATAAATGGCCCATGAAATTTAAGATGCTTAGCGTGTCAAAAAGATCTTACAAAAAAGATGCGGCCTAAAACAGTGTGGTTATTACAAGGTTATAACCTCAAGTTGAAGTCAAGCGGTTGTAAGTACAAGATGAGCACTGGACAATGGACCTTAAACTATAAACTAAACAATAATTTATTCAAAGACCAATCAATTTTTTTTCTCAAGGGGATAGAATAGATTAGACCCTTCATTATGTGTTTCATAATAAATGCATGATATCTCATTGAGGCCCAAAAGAGTCGAATCTAATTTTATTGTCTGAAAGGAATAGCAAATAATCGTATATTCTCCATATATTTAGATTTTCTGTGAGTGAAATATCTTGTGCTAAATATAATCATTACTTCGCTATTTGACGCTACAAAGAAAGCTTTTCTTCTAAATATAAGAATAATTCAACCAAATAGCAAAAGCTCTCCTCTATTGTAGATTTAGCTTGATACACATACCTGCACCACACAGTCCAAGTCTCTGAACAACAGCTTTCACACTTAAAGCCAACTCTTGAACTGCCTCTTTCAACATCTTATTTGCAACTTCATCACCAGCCTCTGCACAAGAGACAACAACTGGAACAAGTGCAGCAATGCGAGCCCAGGATGGATCAGCATAGGTCCACCTAAAATGACATTTGAAATTCAACATTTATTGATAACAAAACCATGAAACTTAATCATGTCAACCAATCCTACATTAGTTGATGTAATAAAGTTGTGACACTAACTATTTCTCCTAAGTTTCAGAACTTGAGAGAAGAGGAAATAAGTTTCACACAAGATAATATAGTGGTGAGAGCGTAAACAGATCCGTATACAAGAATTAAATAGGATAACTGAATCCCCCCATAACCTTTTAAAATTAGTTCTATTTAACCCATGACCTTTTAAGTGAACTAGCACCCAATGACCTTCTATAATAGTACTAATATCAGCGTTCTATCATTAGACATTACAAAGTTGAAAAAAATGGTCCCATAAGCAACCGTGGGGCAAGAAAAAAGGATGTACCAAAAGCACAAATCTCCCACTATAAGAAGGGTCCGGGGAAGGTCCTAATATTTGCACCCTTCCCCTGCTGCATAGAGAGGATATGTTCAACGTTGATCTGTGACAAAGTGGATAGCAAGTATCGAGACCAGCACAACCTTCAATCATGATTCATTTTACAGTAGCATTTCATCCATCATTTCCAATTAAAGAAAAATATTGAGGTAAATTACACTCATCATTAATGACTGTTGCAGTTTCATTTCATTATCAGTTCCACGAAACACACTCGACAGAATGCATTAGAAATTGTTAAGTTTCCATGGGAAAAACACTTATAATAACACTTGTGGCAAGCAATCTAAAAAACAATTGTCCAAACAAAAAATATTATTAACATGTATTTCAATAAAGTCAATAACTAATTTATCATGACAGAAATGTGTTTTGAAGTTTAGAGATTCAAGTAAAAGTGACTGAAATGGAGAAAGAAAGAGAAAAATGAATATGATGAAAATAAAAATAATGAAAATGAAATTCTACAGAAAGATCACTGATTGATAAAGTGCAATTTACATTTTTTTCTTGCCAAAAAATTGTTATACTGCATGACACATCTAGCTTACGTGACTGAGCTCAATTTCCCAAGTTCCTTGTGAACCAGTTTTCAGATTTATTCAAATCCTTTAATTTTCATCACAAATTGCAAAGCGATGCCAGGAGGCAATTATTAGCCATGTATTCAAGCATCAAACCACAAAATGAAGGGTCATAATTTCTAAAAGTAAATAACCATTTACAACAATTAGATAAATACCCAATTAGTTCATCTGCAGAAGAAAGACCAAGTGTCTGCAAAATGGTAGATGTGAGCATCGTATGTGGACCACGACCATCATGAGCTCTAATTACAGCAGTTAGCGCCTGCGCAGCTATTCCATATCCACTGCATATAAAGCAATGAGCACATAAAGAAAGGTACACTTGTAACAGGTCATACTACGAGGCAAATAAAGAAAAGAAAAACAATTAGCAACATATCATCCATCAATGGATTATCAGTAGGAGCAGTAAAAGCTCCAGTTATTAACAATGAAGCAAATAATCCTTAAAGCTACTTTGGATTATAGCAGTTACTAAAAGAAGGAAGACTGAAAGAGGCTTTATAACACATGTAAAATTTAGCTTTCTCAAATTAAGCATATTTTAGCTAGCAATTTTGCTTCAAGTCTTTAGGCACTTATTTGCAACATACCATACTGATTTAAACTGTTGGGCCATAATTACCTTCAATGGTCCCAATCAGTGAAAATGTACATCACAGGCAGAGGCAAACTTGGCTACATCACAGGCGGCATTGCAAAACCTGGTGAAACCGATCCTGGTTATGAAAAATGTCTTCAAGAAAACAGTTTGGTTATGTCCTGGTTAATCAAATGATGTCTCTTGGAATTGGCGAAGATTTTTTACTCTATCACACCGTCGTGAAATCTGGAGTGCTGTCAAAGAGACATATTCCAGCGCCGATAGTATTTCTGAGTTATTTGGTATTGAAAGCAAAGTCTCCGACCTGAAGCAAGAAGATCTGAATGTTACCCACTATTATAACACGTTGAACATGTATTGGCAACAAATCGATTTATACGAAGCTCATGCGTGGACTTGTGTGACCGATGCTGCCCTCTACAAGACGATAGTGAACCAGAAACGTATTTTCCAGTTTCTCAATGGATTGCATAAGAGTTTGGATGCTGTTCAAGGCTTAATTCTTAGCTCCAAACCTCTTCCATCCATTGGTGAGGTGTTTCCCGAGGTTCATCGTGAAGAAAGTCGTCAGACACTAATGATGGTTGAATCTTCCCCAATAGAAGCCTCTGCTCTGCTCACGCATTTTGCCACTTCCAGAAAATAAAAATCTGGTAAGTCGTGGTGTGATCATTGTCGCCGGGTGGGCCATCTAAAGGAAAATTGCTGGAAACTAAATGGTCGACCTGCTAATTGGAAATCCCAACGCCAACGGACATGGCAGACTCTTTCCACCAATGTTGCGCAATCAGACTCATCTCTCAATTTCAATCAACAGCAGCCTGAAGAATTAAACCAGCTGATTCGACGAAATTTGTCTTGTGTTGACCAAACTCCTGCGACCATGAATCCGTCTGGTAGTGCTTTCTTCCTAACCAATACTTCTCCGATTTCTTGGATTGTGGACTCGGGTGCTACTGATCATATGACAGGAAACCGAAACTTGTTCACTGATTTCATGCAGCCTACGGTTCAGCGATTTGTTAAGACTGCTGATGGCTCCTTAACGGATGTGGAAGGCACTGGCACAGTGGCCATGACCAAGAATATTGTGCTCCAATCTGTTTTATATGTTCCTAAACTACATTGCAACCTTTTGTCTGTTAGTAAATTGTGCACTGATTTGAACTGCCTCACTAATTTCAGTTCTCATGGCTGTGATTTTCAGGAAATGGACTCCGAGAGGGTGATTGGCAGTGTTGAACTGTGTAGTGGTCTATACATTCTTGAAGGCTGTTCTTATCCTCAACGACAAGCTCGATCAGACTGTGCTTCCACTTCTTCTTCTGTTTGTTTCTCTTCCACTTTACAATCTTTAAATTCAAATAACATTATGCTATGTCATTTTCGCCTTGGTCACCCGAACTTTCATTTCATGCAAAAGTTGTTCCCTTCATTATTTATCAATAAAAAAGTAGCTTCTTTTACTTGTGATGTCTGTCAACTTGCAAAACATAAACGATCCTCTTTTTCATCTTCAATTTACCAACCGTCCCAACCTTTCGCACTTATTCATACTGATATTTGGGGTCTCTCGCCTGTTCCTAATGTAACAGGGGGTAAATGGTCTGTGTCCTTTATTGATGATCATATTCGAATAACTTGGACGTATTTAATGAAAACCAAATCTGAAATTGAGAGTATTTTTCAAAACTTTTATCATATGGTTCGAACCCAGTTTGATAGCCACATCAAAATCCTTAAGAGTGACAATGGCAGTGAGTTTTTACCAGCACCTTGGTTCCTTTCTTCATGAAAAAGGCGTTATTCACATTAGCTCGTGTGTTGATACTCCCCAACAAAATGGGGTGGCACAGAGGAAAAACAAGAACCTTCTGGAGGTAACCCGTTCTTTGTTGTTTTTCTGCCACTGTACCTAAACGATTTTGGGGTGAGGCTTTACTTACTGCCACCTACCTCATAAACCGTTTACCTAGCCGAATTTTGAGATTTCAAACAGCAAAAGAGATGTTACTTCAAACCCATCCATTTTTTAAACCCATGGTTTGATCCCTTCCTGTTCGAGTGTTTGGATAGTATGTTTTTGTCCATATTCATAAACAATATCGGGGTAAGTTAGATCCGTGGGCTGTTAAGTGTGTTTTCCTTTCCTATTCCTCTCTTAAAAAAGGATACAAATGCTATTCCCTAGTTCTCGAAAGTTTTATGTCTCCATGGATGTTACATTTAATGAGTTTCAACCTTATTTTTCCAATTCTGAAATTCAGGGGAGAGTTTGAATGAATTTCATCCACAACAGGTTCTTGTACCCCTTGATGTACCAGTTACCTCTTCTTTTTCCAATCCTCTACCAGTTTTACCACAGCAATCGATTGAATCATTCTATTTACCCGAAACTGCTCCTTTTCAGATTGAAGCAAGAGAACTCAGTGTCTATACGAGGAGGAAGAAATGACCTACTACACAATTTAGGACTGCTCATGAACTTGATCCGGTTCCAGTTTCCTTGAATGGTGATGAAGGTATGACAGCTTTGAATGATACGACTATTGCTCCTTTAGTTGATTCTTCTGACTTACCTATTGCTCAAAGGAAAGGTGTCAGGAGTTGTACTCAGCACCCAATTCAAAAGTATGTGGAATATGGAAGGCTTATGCCTGCATTCAAGGCCTTTACAGCCAAGGTTGATACCTGCTCCATTCCTAAAACTGTTGATGAGGCCTTAAAGGATCCTAGGTGGAGGAAGGCTGTTGAAAAAGAGATTAAGGCATTGGAGGCAAATAAAACATGGATTATGACTGATTTACCTTCCGGGAAAAAAACTATAAGTTGCAAATGGCTATTTACAATTAAATATAATGCGGATGGAAGCATTGAACAATTCAAGGCTACGTTGGTGGCAAGAGGGTTTACTCAGTCTTACGAGATTAATTATCAAGAAACTTTTGCACTAGTTGCAAAACTCAACACCGTTTGCATTTTATTGTCTCTTCTTGCAAATTTAGATTGGTCACTTCATCAGTTCAATGTTAAAAACACTTTCCCCAATGGTACTTTGGAGGAGGAAGTGTATATTGTCACGCCCTCAGAACCTTCAAGCCCAAACCGTCGGAATATCAGAGTTAAGGTCTGACGGGTCGTGCGGCCTTAGACGCTTCTTGACGCTTCTTGGTCTTCTCTGCAACTAAGTAAGCCTTACCCAAGCCTAATGAGCATGCAAACTCACAAAGATTGGAACCAAACCCTCAAGGCTTCTAGGATTGCAGAAGCTTTAACACCAACGTGGCTACTCCAAGCCACCAAGGTCAGACTATCATGTGGAAGTGCAAACGCAAGTATGGCCCACCAAGATAGGCAACAACACAAAGAGAACAAAGAACTCTAAAAGAATAGAGTAAATGCCTCAGAGATTTTATTACTCTCTCAAAGAGAATGAATGAATGGATTGGATGATTACAAATGAGGAGGAGAGCTCTCTATTTATAGTTGAGCTCTCTCTCAATCAATGGCCCAGATCGTTTTACATCAACGGCTAAGATTTTCCCAATTAATAACAAATTCCCTAAATCAAGGAATTACAACCAAATCCTACCTAATTAAATTCATTAGTAGGATTCTTTCCTTGGATAGGTGTTCACACCGGATATGATAAGATTCTCCCACAATATCTTCCTGATTTTGTTGTCTCTTGCCATATTTATCGAGCTTCTGTGATTATCTTCAGATTTGATGCCACTTTCCTTTTCTGCACAGCCAATGTGAACGGGCTCCACAACATTCTCTAAGTGATGGGCCAAGTCTAGTGGCCTTGGCAAGCTCGATATCTATCTTGAGATTCCCTTTCGGACACTTGCACCAATGTCTTGGCAAGCCCAATACTCTATCTTGACTCCTTGTCGGACACTTGCACCACTGTCTTGGCAAGCACGAAACTTGATCTTGAACCTCCCTGTCGGACACTTGCACCAGTGTCTCAGACCTAAGTTTCTAGCCCGTGACAATATATAGAAACCACCTGGCTTATATTCGACTTCTAATAAAAGAAAAGTTTGCAAACTTCTAAAGTCTTTATACAACCTTAAGCAGTCGCCACATGCTTGGTTCGAGAGGTTTACCAAAGTTGTTTTACACTTCGGCTATCTTTAGTGCCAAGCTGATTATACTTTGTTTGTTAAAACAACTTCCGAAAACAAGAAGGCTATTCTAATAGTAAATGTTGATGATATAATCATCACTGGTGACGATTCTTCTGAAATTTTGAGGTTGAAGAATTCCTTGGCAAAGGAATTTAAAACTAAAGACCTTGGTTCCTTAAGGTATTTCTTGGGTATGAAAGTGGCTAGAACAAGTAGTGGCATTGTGATGAAATATGTTTTGGATTTGTTATCTGAAACTGGTATGATGGACTGCAGGCCTGCTGAGACACCCATCGAGTACAACCTAAAGTTCAAAACCGATGGTGGCGGTCTTCCAGTTAACAAGGGACACTATCAACAATTAGTAGGTAAGCTCATTTATCTATCTCTTACAAGGTCAGATATTGCTTTCTCGGTGAGCATCGTAAGTCAATTTATGAGTGACCCTAAGGAGGAACATCTACAGGCAGTAATCAAGATCTGAAGATACTTGAAAATGACACCTGGTCATCGAATGTTTTTTGCGAAAAACTCAAGCAGAAAG